CAATTTTTCCATACAGAGTACAGAGTTCACCTTCGCAATCTAAAGCCCCCCCACCCTCCCACTCCCTCTCCCTCCTCAAACCCGTCTCTCAAACCTCTCTGGCTCCACTTCCTAGTCTAGCGTATCCAAAACTAGAGTTTATCTCGTTATCCATTAGGATGTCTGTTACGACCTTTCATTTCTTTTTCTTATTCTTTTTTGTAAACTTGAGGATAATCGTGGATTTTGCTTTGAACAGTCCATTATTTCTGGCTGCTACCTCTTTGCACCTGTGATAAACAAGCTGATGAAAAGGGAAAGGAGGGGGGGGGGGCGTAAACAAACAACGAACAAGAACAAAGCAAAACAAAACACACAGTTAGGCAGATTGTTGCGTAATAAACGTTGTCGTGAAGGGCTAGTGGCCATTAAGGATATCCGTTATTTCTGACAGACACACAGAGCTGGGAGTGAACGTTATGTGCTAGAAGAGCAATGCCGAGATACCCCGTACAATAAAAGTAATGGGATCCAGTGCAAAACAATTAATAATAGAACAACAACATCAGCAACAGAAGTTGCAGCAGCAGCAGCAGTTGCAGCAGCAGTAGCAGCAGTAGCAGTAGTAGCAGCAGTAGCAGACAACAGCAGTGATTTGCGGGAACAACAGCAGATAGGATAACAGTAGAGTAGGGCGAAGAATCGATTCCGGAACAGATTCTTACCGTTTATACAACAGAAAAAAACATTTCAATTCCTTTTTGAGTAAACCAACGGTTACCACTTACTTAATTTATTAACGTCTTTTTTTTTTTGAATTTATTTTGGAAGAAAAAAAAGTGTTTCGAAATGAAGGTTATCCTAAATCCTAAAGATGTCTTGAGCGAACTAGACAACTTCTGAGGGAAATGACATCTTTTGAAAGTAATTGGGTTTGGAGTCGATTCCTACGATTCCTAGCTTTCAATAATCGGGAACCTAGCCACCTAGCACTAGTTAACAAATTAAACTGCATCAATAGAAACAGCAGCAACCCTATCAACAGGTACCCACAAAATGACAACAGCCAAGAACAGCGACAAAATAACTGCAGCTGCATTCGCTCCATCGCCACTACCACCATATCGACCACCATCACCGCCATTATCGAATCCACCACATCCACAACTTTAAACAATAACATACAGAGAATAACAGCAACAACAATAGCAGCAGAAACAACAACAACAACAACAACAACAACAACAAAAACGCCACCAATAAACAGAATGGGTGGTTGGCGGGTCTTCTGATGTGGTTTGCTTCTTCTTTTCTATCAACATCTATCTATTTCATAGCGGGGGAAATTTATTTTGCTACAGGTAGAAATTGTTTTTCTTTTGAGAGGAATTGTTTATTTCTGAGAGAAATTGTTTTTCTTCTGAGAGGAATTGTTTATTTCTGAGAGAAATTGTTTTTCTTCTGAGAGGAATTGTTTATTTCTGAGAGAAATTGTTTTTCTTCTGAGAG